GGGTGAGTACAGCGATGCCTTGCCACGATTCCCCCACTCAACATGGATACCACTCAACCTCAGTACAAGATCTAGTCTGAGATGAGTGTCTTAGCTCCCGACCACCCTTTTAGAAGAGTCCGAAGCCAAAGCAAGTGTATTGAAGGAATGTTCCTCGAAATACAAAAACAATGCATCCCTATATGCAAAGCAGAACATAGCACAAGGTGAGCAGTAGAACAAACTTCCCAACTGCCAGGACATATATTCCCTGACACTTGATGCCATGCATGGCAAACACACACATGGGTGGGCATTCAGCTTACATGGAGGGGGGGCAGTGAAAGAGAAGAGGAAGAAAAGAGACAGGATGTTATAAGAGAATGAGAATAAATCCCTCTGTCAGGATGTGGACCAACCCACCTCGACAAATAAATAGATTTGAAATTGTTGTACGTTTTGTATAGTAATGTTTTACTTTCACTTCATTGTTTTTAGGGGGGGGACATTGATAAATCACCAAAATCCAGGGGAGAGGCTATCTAGAGTTCGAAAGAAATGGATACCTTATGATTAAGTTGTGATATTTAATGCAAAATACTTGTTTAAATACTCTATTAGTAGTGTTTTCAAGGGTTTAAAAGATTGGCAAAACCTTGGGGAAGGTAATATAATTAATCAGGGGTTCAGGATTAAAGAAGAAGATATCCATGAGAGTGCAACAGGTAATCTTTTATCGATTGATTAACCATCCAGAACTTACAAACAACATATTTTCGTTTTGTTGGAACTTTAAGTGTTTCATTTGACATTACCTCAAGAGTGAGGTGAACAGACCACAACTTTGGGTAAGAGTAAAGCAGCAGCAGCTAAATGATATTGGAAATACCCACAATCACAGGCACCTTTGGAGTATACACTGTTGAGGGACAGAAGTTCATTAGATACATGACACACTCTTACACTCAAATGTTTCAGAGATAAAGACAAAATTAAAATCGCAGTAGGTGAATATATCTTTCATAAAGTTTAGGGATAGGTTATACATCTGTAGGAATTATAAAATAATTACAAAAAAATTTGTTTTGTAAACAAATATATTTGTACAAAAGTTTTTAATTGCAATAATAAAAATTCAAATGTTCATTTTACCAATCTCGAATTGCAACTCAATGCTTGATATGTACATTCCTAATGGCTATGATTTATGGACAATGAAGGCACTGGCAAACTATTGTTCCTAGAGTATTACTTAGGAGGGAATAAGTACTTGATAATATCGAAGTCAACAGTCCTGAAAAAAGGGCATAATTCAAATGTAATACATTTGGATGACATTTAATTCATATTCTTTTATGGAAAAACTCCACACACAACATTTAAGGAACAAAAGTTTCAACAATACAATACAACACATTGTATTCTTTAACATTTTTTTGTCAATTGCTAAATTTATCAATTTTTAGTATTAATCACTCCTGCAAAGCATCTTCCTTTCTCCTCAAAAGAGTGGAGTAAATGAAAGAACTTGAAATGTTTTAGATTCAAAAGAACGGAAACATATGCCTCCTAACCCTTTGAGAATACAAAATGAGCACAAAAACATTTTCAAACTTGGGGAAAATTGAACTCACTTGGCAATTGTTGTAATGAAGTCCAATCCCACACAACATTTCAACATTTGAGCATCCAGAGATGAATCATTCACACTTAAAAGTTGAAGCTTCACAAGGGATGATATCTTTTAAAAACAAAATAAAAACACATTGGCAAAATATGAAAGATGTAAAGAAATATAAGCAAGTAATGCTACATAAAAGTAAACAAAGGGAAACAAAAGATAATTAGTAAGAATAACTGATAAAAATTCTTATGTTATAGCTTTAATTACCTGTGCAGAGACACTGGCTGTAAAATTGACCTCCGAGTCAACAATAGAATAGAAGATGGCAAGCAAACGACCAACTGTAAATGCTTTGGGCCCCAATAACATATCAGCCACCACATCATCATGGCTCCTGGTTACAAAAGTCAAAATACTTAGAGGTTAATAACAATAATAATATGCAATTATTATAATAATAAAAATAATAATAATACATTGAAATTAAATCAATTTTATTTTATGTACAATAAAGATCAATGTACACAAACAGTACCTAAATAAATTGAAATTCCAATTGTAGTAGAATAATATGTTAAAAATAATAGGAAAAATGTATAATTTCTATTTCTCTGATATTTGTGTTATTGAAGATGTAAGAGTTAACATTAATTTATTTATTGTAAGATTAATTATATTTATTTTTAAATGTAAATTGTCAATCTTGTTTATTTTGTCACAAGTGCATTATACTTCATAGTTTGAGAGATCAGATGGAAATATAAAATTCATTCTACAATCCTGAAATTGTTGGGTTTGATCAATTTGTAAATGTTAACTGCTTGGATGATACATAATATCAAAACAGACAAGTATTATGATTAAAAAATCTAATTTTGATAGGGATTGTGGAGGCTTAAATTGTTATTATCCTTTTACTTTACAATCCTTTCTGCCTTTAAACAATTTCATTCTTCAAAGAACACTACAGTTTCACGAATAAAATCTTTCATTGAATGTGCCTGCGGTAGTAATACAAAAAGCAAATTTACACCTTTGATGTGTTCATATAAAACATTTCTGAACATAAAATACTAATTAGAATAAATTATATATTATATGTGATCTCACAGGCATGTGGAAATTTATCTTTTTCCAGAGTGCAAGTGATATTTACTATGAATATTTGAGACATGCAATTTCATAAATAGAATGATGAGGAAAAGAATGAAAAAAGCAAGAGAAGGGGAAGAAGAATTCATGTTTTTCATTCATTCCATTCAATTTATTTCATTATATTGGCTTCATAAATTAATTTAAAAAATTATTTAAATTCTGTAAATAAAACAGCAGGAATAATTATCTCTTCTAAGGAGGAGGTAATAGAAAAATGATAATTTTGTTTGGTTAATGTCTCAGATAGGTGTGTATAATCTGAATTCTAACACACTTCTTATTGAAATTTCACAAGTGCATAAGTTATATAAACATTACAGCATAGTGTCATTAATGTATTGACTAAATTCAAAATATTTGTATGGTCCTTGACTTTTAATTTGAGTCTGAATATAAGGTACTTCAAATTATTGGGTTTCAGGGTGGAGGAATTTCTGCCATGTTCATTTAATTTTTATGCTAATAATCCATTTCTATGATTACTATATTTGCCTTAATTTTCTGCAGAGACAGTACTATGTTAAAATTTGTTCTTGATTTTTCAAAGATTCACAGAGAACAAGTGAAACTTACCGTGTTTTCTTCTTCCCCCTGCGTCCTCTTTTCTCATTTTTTTTCACAAACAGAGCCTTATCTAACTTTTGAGGGCTATATGAAGCAAGGAAAGCAGCCATAAGGAAAAATTTGCTGTAGTATGGCAGTTCAAAGCTCAAAGCCCAGCGAGATGGACAGGTTGAATTCTTTTGGACAACAGTCCCGTCTGCTGCAGCACTGCAAGGCATAAAACATTAATATCAACAATTTATTGTATATTTTTCAGTGGAGGCCAACATATTTATTTTCTTTTCACCCCAAAATTGTATGTGCTACATATCACTTAAAAAATTATTACAGAATTGCTGCAAAGAATAATGATTTTAAACTGTGATTAAGTGTTTCTAGATGAATCAACTACAATGCCCATTTGTTCTGTAAGTGTTGTGCATGTAATATCCCAAGACGTGATCCTGCCCTGCTAGACTGTTAGATCCAGTAATGACCTAAACACAGGTAAGCAGTATTTTCTTCATTTAGGTATCTCTCTCAGTGGAGTAGTGCTCCAGCTCTAAGTTCACAACTGCTCTCCTAACATGTATGGTAGTGTAGGGCATGTAAAGTTTAAGTGTATGTGTGCAAGGGGAGAGAAGGAGGCAAGGATCGTGCAGGACAGACAACACACATTGTCTGTGGCCCATTAAGGTACTGCTCTGGCATTCATCTGATATTAATTGCAGAAACCACAGAAAACTACACATTAGAGCAGCAGGCTGCTAGAATTCTTCTTAAGTTACTGGTTAAATGTGAGTTAAGTTTTGTAGCTAGTGTTAAAAATCTGCCACATATTTCCAAAATTCCAGTTGAACATTAAGGAAAATCTTAGGTTTTTCAACTCACATTTTGCTTTCATTCATTGTGACATTTATTGATTGTTAGAGACTAACAAAATAGGTTTCATCACTTAAACTTCAAAACTCAATTTTTTTAAATTTACTGAGATTTTTTAAAAAAACTCTGATTGTTAAAACAGATGGTCACCAAAATGAGTTCCATTGTAAGTCTCCAATGCAAAAACAAGGTTATATTTAACTTTTTTCCATTGATATTAAATATCTTTGTATAACGTATAACTGTCCACTCACTTTGGTATCATACGGAGATAGAGTTGGCTGCCCAGTGTGCGGAAATGTGGCAATAATATAGACCAAAGCCGAGATGGTTCTACACGACCACTTATTATTGGTTCACAATGCTCCAGAAAGTGAGATCTTACCTGCAACCAAGTTGTAGTAATACAAAAACAAGAATACAAGAGTATTACATTAAACATAATAATTATGAACCCTAACTAATGGGTTTTGTTTCCAGTCAAATAAAATGAATGTGACAAGTAGGGGGTAACTACAAGCTGCAATCCAATTAAATGTGTCATAGGTTAAAGTAAGAATAAGTCAATTGAAAAAGTTATCATTTTATCTTCAAATTATTGAACAAATAACACAAATATGGCAAATAACTCATGGCAGCACTTTGGAAATCCATGAGAGCAAAACTACTCCTGTTTTGTGCCTTTGGAAGGCTGGGGGGGGGGGGGGGGAGAGGCAGAGCTACATTTAATGCCCAGAAGCAAAGAATGATTTCATTTATTTATTGGATGAAAAGGGGAGGTCACAGATCCAGAACTCTTTGACTATTATTTCAAAAGCATGACTCCATGTCCGTCCAATAAGTTTCATGCAACAACACACAATCACTCACCATATGTTGCACTTCTAAAACATCTCGACAACAAATGTAAAAGACTCCTAAGAAGAGGCGTACGTACTGCACAAAAATGGCATCTAGGTCTCCTCCCCAAACACAATTGTGACACACTATCTTCAGGATTTCATCTGAAAAAACACACACACACCATATTTTGATTGCTTGTTTAACATGTCCTTAAAATCATATGAAATAATTGGACTGACTTTTATGAAAAGTGTGGTAAACAAATTTCAGTTGAAAAACATGAGTAGACACATCCCAAATACAATGAGAAAATATTACACAAAACGAATAAAGATCATTAAAATCATTTACTGAAACTGTCTATTCAACATGTAGAGACAGCAAACATTATTCCAAATTTTATATCATTCAATGTAATGAGAATTCAATAGGGCGGCCACTTTTTACTTGGAGTTGACTAGTGGTAAACCATCAAGAGCTTCAATTATGGAGAGGGTATGTATCAGTGGTAAAATGTTGAGATGATTTCGCAGTGATTGCCAGAGTGAAGATGAATTAGTAATGGAAATTGACAATTCTGATAATGAATAGTAACTGGAAAATGAAAATGGAATAGGGATTGGAAACAGTGATGAAGAATATGATCTTATGTAAACTATTCAAGCAATCATTAAGGGCCACCTTCAACGTAAAATACAACAGTTTTCATGAAAAAACAAGAGGTGCTACAACACATACTTTCTCGGATGACTGAAAAGTTACAAAATATTAAAGTATTGTAATTTCTGACATACTAAAAACTCAGTTATAACTTGTATAAGTCTAATTCAAAAGAATCACCTCTCATGCTTATCTGCGTTATTTTCATTGTCAGGAAGAATAGTCATTTTTTTACTTCTAGACATGAACGAATATGAATAAATTTAAATGTTACAGTATTTACAGAACATAACACAGCAAAACAAGAATTATTTCACACAAGCCTACCTTGGTTACATTTGAAGTGAGCTTTCAATCTTTTTATAACATTATCAGCAATTAAAACTTCTTAAAGTATAGAAGTGTGTTTGTAAGTTCTAAGTTAAAATTTATTACCTTCCTCTAATCGATTTTCATTAGAATATTATCTACATCTTACAATCAACATGACTGGCAATAATGGGATGAATTTAAAGAATTATGAAACCTCTATGTTGCTATTTTCCGAACTGGCAATGCCTGAAACGAAGTGTGTTAAATTCGAATCAAGGATCACATCTAGGTCCCTTACTTTTTGTCATCTATACAGTTTATATTAAATTTATTCTGAAAGATCTTGAAACCTACTCTTTGCTGATGATTGCAAAATTTTCAAGGTAATAGAAACACCTGAATATCATGTATGTCAAAGTGCATTGGATGCTTTTAAAAAATTGTGTGATGACAATCAACTATTCCAAATGTACACACATAACCATTTGTCACTCCAGAACACCAATGGAACTTACATATACAATTGGACATGCTACTACACCCAAAGTATTCTCTGTAAGAGGCTTGGGTGTAATTTCTGACTCCAAATCAATGTTCAAGGGACATATTGATCTAATAATCAAAAAATCTAATGAAATCTTAGGATTTGTGAGAAGAATTTGCTTGGGTTTAACCTCGACGAAAGTGTTTAAATCTCTTTACATGTCACTTGCGAGACCTATCCTGGTGTTTCCATCCATCGATTGGTCTCCAAATTTAAATATTGTATGCATGAGGATTGAGGTGAAACAACATAAGCCTTTGAGAATTGTAGCATTGAAATTGAGTTTATCTGATCCATTTATAGATCATGAATATAGTTCCATTGCGAAATACATGAATGTGCCATTACTTAGATCTCTGTGAAACTTTGTTGATTCAATTGTTTCTTGTAAAACTTTTTACAGGCAATATAGTGTCCTTTACTTCTAAAAAGGATTCAAGCAAAACCTTAGTAGAAGCATTTGCACTTATTCAGAAGGCAAGGGATAAATTCACGGTAGCTCTAGGTGAAAAAGCAAATAGGAAGAAAACAAATGAGGTTTTTGGAAAGAATCTAGGGCTTCATACTTTACAGACAATGGGTGAATAATTGGAAGGAAATTGTGTTAATCTTCCAGACAATGAATTGAGCACAGACATTGTCTCCCACAACATCATGTGATGTTGTAATATAATTTTCTATTAACAAAATTATATTGTCTGACGGAAGACACTTCCTAACAACAGATAACTTTAATAAAATTCTTGTGGCTATCTGTGATTTTAATGCAAAATAAAATGTGCATGAGATACTAATCTGTTTTTAATTTGCATATTCCATCTCTAGGTGGCAAAAATATGTCATGCCATTGTAAAATACTTTTGTGACCAAACGCTGTATATTGTAACAATTTCTGTGCATATTTCAACAAATTTGTAGCATATTTGCATGCTTATTCCAGGGCTAAAAGCTTGCATGAACTTCCTTGCTCTAGTAATGAGAGTACAATTTTGACTTTACTGTGTGAATGCCACCGGCACTCTTCTCTGATTCTATAGACCATTATGTCTTGATTTCTAAGTGAACTGGAGCCTTGCTTGCATACAAAATTCTCATGCCATTTGCATACTTATAAAATCAAGTTTATCAAGTTTACAATTGTAGCTCATTAACAGACTAATTCCTCTTAAAAAAATACAAGGCAAATATTTTCTAAATAGATTTTTTCCCCCTGTGAGATATGTTTCTTGGCATGGTCTCTATTGGAAAAAGTTTGATAGGGAAAAACCTGAAAAAGGTAAATTTTAAGTGAGTTTATCTAAAAACCTACAAAAACCAGTATTAGGGATGGGCATTTTTATATGATTTTTAAAGTTCTTTAAATTTGAAAATAAAAGGGATTTGGGAAGTGTTGATTGTTTGTAACATTAAAAAAAAATCTGTTTTCAAGTTTCTGATTCATTTTATCATAATTTCTCATTCTTTTCCTTTTCATCAGGACGTTTGCAAGTATCTTCCCTAGACACCACTAAACAATTCTAAAATATAATAAAAACAATGAATATCATTTAAGGGCAAACAATAATTTGACTGGAATATTAGAAGAATATCAAAAGAAATCATTGTTCTGTCACTATATTGTAGGTATTTTCAAAAAGCTAGATGCCCCTAATTTTCAATTTTCATTGGAATGCTCAAGTAAGAACTTTCTGATTATTCCTGAGTATTGCACAAAAATAAACTGTTTGAAAAAATACCTTTGGTATACTGAGGAAAAAATACTTCAAAAGGGTCTACTAATCCAGATGGTGATAAAAACTTCTCCCATGGCAATGTACTGATCAACACACAGCACACATTCTTTCCTGTAAGCTCCTGAAGCCGCAAGAAAGCAGGTAGCAGGTGAGATTCCATACTACGCAATTTCTCACAGTTATCAAGTACCTGGAAAAGTATGTCAATACATAAGAAGACAATGCAAGATTCAGAAATAAGAAAGGAAGCAAATTCCCTTCATAATAAGAGGGCTTTATTAGATAAGCATCACTTCCTAAGATAATCACTGTTTAGAGAGCAACAATGAAGTCATTCTTAATATACTATTATCATTACAAAATATGCTATTTTGCTACATGATAGTTTGGTGGAATGTCAAACATGGGAAATGTACAGTTTAATGTTAATATTGTTCATTTCTAGCCATAAGTGAAATGTTAACAATAGCCACTTCACAAGGAATATAATTAACAGAGATTTTCTCCCAAATTTAAATAGTACAAATTGTCTTTATTCATGTTATGGTAAAGATTAGGGATTCAATTCAAAGATTAGATCTCCAATTCATGAGTCTGTGCAGGCTACATTAAAAATTTCAATAAAACCACTTAGCTATTTGATTTTTTTTAAATATTTATTTATTTATAAGAAAACCAATGCAAAAATAACACTGAATCCTGAAATGCAGCAATTGAAGTCCAGCCAATCACTCATGTTACACCAACAATGACACAATAATACTCTATACAGTTGACTCCACTTATAGTGAACTTTTGGAGACTAAAATTTTTGGTTCAATGTTTCAGAAGTCAAAATTAAATAGAATTTCTCTATAAAGATAGATTATATTTATGTGAATATAGGTGACATACATTAACTGCACGAACTGAGAATTTAAATATCTTTATTTGACCTTAAAAAATCAATTATTTCCAATTGTTTGCTTTGAATCTTTTTAATTAGTAATTTCTCTATATCCTTCTTCAGAGCTCATGCTTCCCTACTTGATTATGCACAATCTCCTGTGTCTAAGTATCGTAATACACTTTTCACACCCTTCAATGCCTCTTGCGCAGTTGGAACGAGATGCTTCTGACAGTGGAATGGCGCAAGCAACTAATGAAGCTGATTGCTTTTCCGTACGGCACAGCAAATATAGACATACTGTGACAGTCGTGTGTTTCCTGCTGCCAACATAAAACTCAACTGTCCCAAGGAAACACTTTCTCTCATGCAATATCAAGAAACCCCAAGCTTCAAATTGAAGCAAGCAATTGCACGTTGCTGCCCCTAGTTGAAGCCAACGCACAACATGGCCTTTTCTCCCTACAATGAAACTCAGTGGCATAAGGTCATCAGTAGAGGCAGATTTTAATGACCTAAAACATTGCTAAAAATTATCAATAAAATGCTTTAAAAATGCCATAAAAACAAAGAAAAAGGATGTAAAAATAATTTGGACAAAACCACTTCACACGAACAACTCAAAATGTTGGATATATTGTTGATGTAATCAAGGCTTTTTCCTTAAGTTCAAGACTTGCAAACTTTGGGTTTGACTGTTCTTTAAAAGAAAATCTCTGCCTTTATTTATTGTGAAATCAGTTGAACTGACAATGGCACTGATAAGCATCACAGGAACCTTAGATTACATTGATTAGATTACACAACGGCTGACATTACAATATAAGAAATCGATTATTCATTACTTAGGAATTCTAAAGTGAACCATTTATTGCACCTTGTAAATATAGTTTTAGTAAGTACCATTAAAATAATATTACAATCAATAAAATCAGCAAAACATACAGTGAAAAAGGAAAAAATGACTTAGTTGAAATTTATGAAAAATGTCATACAAATGAGTCATATTGTTTTGTCAGAATATAAAAATAATTTCTATATTAAATGGCATTGTTCTAAAGTGAAAAAGAAAGCTGCCTAGTGTTGGAATATCTCTGTTCACTATAACCGAATCTTCTTATGCTTATTTGTAATGTAAGTGAAACGAGAACTGTGACTTAAGTTCGCTATAACCGAGGATTCACTATATCCAGAGTCGACTGTATATGTAATAGTAGCTTTTAATACTGATGCCAATATTAACGAACTGATAGGAGATACATCACAAAGTGCTTCATTGACACTTGTTTTCTCATTAAATTTGAAATTTTTTAAGCACATTATTTACTCTCATTATTACTATCACATATTTTATTTTCTTATGAAGAACTAGAGTTCTACTTCGACTCTTGAGAGAAGAATTTATTAAATCCCATTAGATTTTCTGTGAATCATTAAGAGGTTCTTGTTCCTCTGAAATCTGAAAAGCACATAAAATTTATAAATACCTCACAAACCCTCAATGGGAGTGAAAATAATTATAATTTTATCACTCCATAATGATGCATTTGTCAAAATATTGGCAGGCAAAAGCACAGAGTTCTATCAACCACTTCTAGACCAGTGAAAACTATTCAAGATTTGAGTTTAGATTGTGTAAGAATGCATGTATTTAGATATATTGAAAAGAGGAAATTTGTAACAATATTGGGGAAAATATTTGTTAAATTATCCAGTAGCTTTAAATTCATATTTAAGTACATACCACAATAAAAGCATTTTTTTCAAAGTAACTGGTAGATAGTGCTGCAGTAAACTGGTTTATAAACTCATACATGGAGTCACATATTTTTTGTGGCTCTTTGTCTTGATCTACAGAAACAAAAACATAAGTCAATTACAAAATGATTTCAAAATCTGTAGAATATGTGACACCTAACTAATGCATAAAAGTATTAGATGCCAAAAAACATTATGAAATTACATTTATTAGTATTCAACTTAATGTAACCACAGATTAAGCTATTTCAAAGAAGTGTTTTTACTAATGGTCAATGAATCCACTGTACTCAAAATATGCTACTGACCTGTCAATCCTTTAAGGATTGATCCATAAAAAATCTTAGGAAGGTAACATTTCACACAGTCAACAAAGACATGACGATAGCCAAGAACATTTAGTAAACGTGAAGTCACGTACGTTTTTCCACTTGCATGAAGACCATATAAAAAAATACTTTCAGGAACAACATTCTTGGGCTAAAAACATAATAATATGTGCAATACTATATTTGGCAAAATAAATGGAATTACTGAGATGATAAAAAATATGTGACAGAATCAGACAACTGTCCTTGAGAATCAGCAAGTAGTACAATTTTACAAATATGTGACAGGAAAGTAACCAAACATTGATGAAACAACACATGGAATGAGGTAACTCATTTTGATCTCAAAATTCTCACCCTGCCCAGAAGCTCAATCAATCTCTCAATTGGTTCAGAGCGACAAATCACATCCTGAGACAGCTGCTTCTGCCATTCAGCTTCTTCATCTTCGCAAACAAACTCCAATGCCCTCCTGAAAGCACATCAAAACAGTAATATCTAACTTAATATTTATGCTTTCAGAGAAATGGTTTACTTGGCAGAAAAATCAATGTTTCAGCCCTCATTATCAGGGTCTATTCATACACACAATTATTTTATAGTGCTCTTACATCTTTTAAGTGACAATCAAAATTAAGAAAACAGTCAGCTTCTAACCTCATCAAGACACAATAAGAAATGTTTTTCTTCATTGCTGTTCATGAACTAACTTTGATAAAACCCATTATTGTAACAATATTTCTCAGCTGTAATTTGAAACCAGAATTTAGTAAATCCTGGAACACTGTTCTTCAGCCTTTGAATCCCTAGCCTGGTTAAAATATTGCAGTGAAAATGATGACAATTCCTTCACTTATCAACAGTGGCTAATTATTTCATGCAGATTAATACAGTCTGAAATTAATGTTGCTATCAAACATCTAAACAGAGGAATTTTTTGATGAAATTACTCGTGTATTTTCCAATACACAAAACAAAAGAACATTAGTTATGTTTTTATTTTCAAGATTTCTTAACAGAACAGAAAAGGAAAAAGAGGATGATTATAGAAATTGGAATATGGAGAGAATAATAGGATGATCAATTGATTCAGACAGTAAATATTTTTAAAATAACACAATAATGTTTACCTTGCATCTTTTTATAGTATTATTTGAGAGAAATTTGAAAAATTAATGCAAAATCTATAAAATATGAGAGTATAATAAGCAAACAAAAAACTTCAAATTGAAATGAGACAATGTAAAACTGATGTAACTGAATGTTAAGATAATCAAAAATCTTGAAATTATTTTATTAAAATATTTTAAATCCACACAGCATTACTAAATAAGAAAATATATTTCTCACAATGCGATTTTCCAGCAAATGATATTGAAGAACCATCACTTCCATAGATTGAGAAATTATTCACCAACATCATCAATGATTTACCACACTCACCAACCTTTTAAGTATTATTAAAATATTTCACTAATAAAATAAAAATGCATAAATTTCCCCTAGTAACTTTCAAGTTAAAAAATTCTATGAAAATTTCATAATTTGAGCATTAATATAATGAAACATCACATTTCATTTTCAAGATTGTCAATTTCGCCTGCAATGAATTGCCCTTATTTTTCCTGTTTATCAAGTACATTTTATCTTCTTCTGCACTTCAAGGGTAAGGCTCTAGAACATGTTGTGGTATCCACTTCCTTCTGGGCCTTCCTACATCACTTCTTCCATCTTGAGTGCTGGTACTCTGCTATCGGGCATTCTCCTTAAATGTCTTTACGTATGATCTTTTTTAATTCTTTTCAGTTTCTCCAGCAGTGGTTTGATGCCCAATTTGCTTATCTATTTTCCCTTTTATCTCAGATGATGTAACCCAGAGTGCTTCTCACTTTAATTTCTGCTGGCTGGATTTTAGAGTTATCTTTTTTTAATGTCACTCCTGCTTCATATCCGTACATTAACACACGCACAGCTAATGTGTTGAAGAATTTTATTCTTGTTTCTTTCCTTGTTTTATATTCACTTTCCATGTTCTAAATATAAATATATATAGACAACTTGATTTAGAAAATTTTAGGTCCTGGAGCACCCCTGAAATTAACCATTAATTTAATAGAAATAATTATGAATTCATAATGTAATTTAATAATTATTTTCCTGAGATACCAAAATGCCGTTCTGTCACGTTCCGCCCGAAATCAAGACCTCTGTCAATTTTCCTTTTATGATCAGTTTACCCATTTGTTCTTCTGAAATTATTTTTAGTATTTCATTTATTATTCTCGCATAAATATACATTGTATATTTATAATATACAATATAAATTTATGCAATACTCATTTTTCCTTTTCAATTGTATTACTTTGTACATTCTCTCTTTCATTACTATTCAATATTTTCATTACCTTGTAGGCTAATTTTTGTTCTCCATATCATGTTCCATTCTACCAATAAATCTTTCCCATGAATCTGTGTGAGCTTTTCTAATACTTGTCTTTACTTTGTTCCCAGCTTTTTTATATTCTTCCTTGTCATTTTCAGTAAGGTTGTCAAGTTACTTTTTATATCTCTCCTAAATGTACTTGACACTATTTTTGTCATTTCAAATTTTTAAACCTTTTGTGTTCTGAAATTTATTTTTTTCGTCTTACTGCTTCATCTGCTGATTCCTTTATTTGTTGATATTCTGTTTTCTATTTCCTCCTCTGTGATAAGGTTTCGAAGATGTTTATCTATTCTATTTTGGTATATGTTTCTCACCTTCTGAAAAGTATACTTTGTACACATCTCCCCTCATTCTCTGTAAATCTTGAATTCTTTTTCTTTAATCTTGTTAATGATTTTATACACAACATTACTAAAAAAATGACCAGAGTTTATATACCAGCTTCTTTTAACTGTTGTGTCTTTTATTAATTTTGATATTCTTGTGTTTCCAATTATACAATAAATTAAAAATCTACTACCCTATGCTGACCATGTATATTTATGAATGTCTTTCATTTTTTTTAAAGTATTTGCAATATAAATTTCATTGAAAGCTGCGAATTCCCTCAATTTTTCTCCATTGTAATTGTTAAACTTTCTCTCCACCCTTCAAGTCTTTGGTATACTCTCACTTCCTACTCTTGCATTTAGATACCCTACAAGAACTTCATATCTTGAATTGTACTTGTCTAATAGTATCTGAATGGTTCGGTAGAATTCCTGTTTCTTCCCTCTTTCGTTCCTCCGGGGCATGAACTCTAATAACGACAAGATGTCCTCTTTCGTGTAATAATTTTAACATAATTATCCAGTTGTTTACAAATTGTACCTCTTTTATTCTTGACTCCCACTTTCCATCTACAAATATGGCTACTCCTTTTGCAGCTCTTTCTTCCTGATCCACTTCCCTATAAGATATGGCGTAATATACTACATATTTTGATCCTTTTAATTCCTGTTTCTACAACTAGGCTGACATTCATATTTCAAGAATTTTATTCTGTTCACTTTCTTTTCTCGAAATACTATTTACATTCCAGATAGCAGTTTCAAAATATTCTGATAGCTGTTTATGCACTCCCATTTTCATTACTTTAGTCATCATAGTTTTCATTACATGGCCCTCACACTGCTAGTATATCATTTTTTTATGTGAGTGGGTTACCAGACTTCCCCACACCTCTGTGCCAAGGAGGGGGAGGTTATTTCTGACTTCCCATGTTCTACAAGGATTGTCTTCTCCATGGCTTCAAGGTTTCTCTTCCCATTCACAGTACCTCTTCTTTTTTTGAAGAAGCCATTTAGGTTCTCTTCTGAAAACTTTTAGTCAGATCCCTTTCATTCAACCTGGCTGGTTACTAGTAGCTACGACACCGATGGCCTAGCTCTCAGGGTCATGAGGGTACTCGAGCTTTGCCATAATCGACAAGGTCATTTACTCCAAAGGTGAAAGTACAGTTTTTTCCTCGTAAAATTTGCATTTTTTATAAGAAATTATTAAATAAAAAAAGAGTTGGATACCTGTTACTAATTCATCCCCTCCCTGATTTCAATATGAGAGGAAAAAAGCACTAAATGGTTCACAAACAATTGTGAAAAAAACAAACATACAAAACCATTTTCCTATTTTCCAGAAAGTGGCCACTCTAATATAACATAAGAGAGGAGGTAAATTACAGTATTACTGTACTGAACAGTATTATTGTCAGCAATCTTGTAATGTTAGGTATTAGAGAATAAATAATACGAAATAATCTCTTATGTAACAATACATATACCTTAAAATGACCCTAAAATTCAAGTATCATCAGTAATATCGCTGGACAAATAAATGTTGTTGTTTTTTTTAATTGACAGGTTTGAATATTCAAAAAAAAAACTGAATTCAGAATTCTATTTCAAATACAAATTTTATTAATAAATTAAAACAAAATTCTTCTACTTTTTAGTAAAGTCTACTAAGTGAATTTAACAATGAAAAAAATTAAACACTGCTTACAATACATTATCTGAGAAAGTATGAATTCACATACAAATTGTTGTACTCATGTTGTGCAATTAACAGATCAAGAGCTAGAATTGAGAGGAGTTTCAAAAACAAATGAAAGCATTAAATTATGAGCCGCAAATAAAAAACTCACCTATGCTTAAAAAGAGCACAAAGGATGAATCAGGTCAAATATACATGTATACGGAAGAGCCAGATACATGCACTTGTTCCAATGTTTTCAATTTGTATGTTTCAGCAAAGCGTATTCAAAGTCATCCCAATGTTTCATATAACCTGAGCTGTTTCATATACACTCATTTCAGAGAAATTCATATTACTATAACATTTTTTTTCTTCCTAAGGACATAAAAGAAGTTTTCTGTCTGCAGAATTGCATCAAGAAGCAATGATGATAAACACAGGGTAGCCCCCATGGAGCTACATATCCTGATGACCACATAGATGAGGTCTGGAAAATGTTTTGATTGTGTAGCATTACACATATATTTGACTTCACAGTTAGGGAGAATGTCCAAGACTTGAAAATGTATCCATCCAGATTTTAGGGACTTCTTTGGGACAAAACAAGTCTTCCTGACAGAAAAAACAAATACATTTCATGTCTATCTCAGAACTAAGAAGTTATGGGTTCTTAGTTGTCTGGAAGACACTGCATCCTAAGGTCCATGGTCCATGGCAGCCAACATCATGGCCATTGTATTTCTACCTTTTGAAGATTAAACGTATTGACACTGTGTCCCAGTGTCAGCGAGTCAAAAATTCACTGACTCCAGCCATGAAAGCCTATGCCTTTAACAAGTAATGAATAGATAATTTTCCTCCATCTCGCACCTATTTGTTTGAAAGGAGGAACTGTTGAAATGAAACTGATGAATATCCTTTCGAATTACATAAGGAATTTTGCTTAGTTAAGCACTATTCAGACATATTACAATCACTTAAATCCTAATCAATTTCTTTCAATAATTTTGGTACTGTAATTACAATAATGGGATGAATTGAGATAATACTTTGATCAATGTTACATTGCATTACGAAAAATTGGTCCTAAAAACAAGAACTTAATAGGTTTTCTATATATGTTTTATTATTTTTATTGTGTACAGTAAAATTCACAAGAGAATTAAAAATAAAACAAAAAATATAATAATTTTTCACTACAAACTTTTACCAAATATTTTCCTTTATAACCCCAAAATTAAAATTGAATTAATGTACTGTTTTGCCAGTTAAAAACTAAGCCTACCATAGACATAAAAACATATTTGCTGAACACACCCACTTAATTAAGGCAAAGCCCTCAGTCAAAATTAATGAAAACCTAATTTTAAATCATCAATAGATTGAAGAGTTAAAATATGAATGCCTAATTAATAAATGACAATATATACAATATTTATAGTGTTTTAAACTATTTTATACGTAACAGTACAATGCTTCATAGAACAATATTTTATTTCTTTGCTGAACTATGCATTGCAAATAACCCTTAATTTTTAAAACATATAATTTTTATGTTTAAAACGACAGCTATCTTTTAGCAATACTGAAGATGTACTATATATCTTTCTATTCCTCAGTATATAAAATATTTCTTTCTTTCAATCCGATATACTTTAGAAAGATAAATCATTTAATAGAATCGATTATGCTTTATTCAACAACATTAATAATCTTAATTTCTTCTTAAAATATAATGGTAGTATGTGGATGTACATGATATTCCAAGTATCTTACAAAGAAACAAAATGTAGCAGTAAATTAACATACATTTTAAAGAAAGTTGTATTTCAGATTTTTTGCCCAACAGTAACTAATTGATAGCCTCAAAATTATACCAATCAAATTGCATTAAACCAGAATGAACTTTATTGCACATTACTGCATTTCTTTTTACAGCTTTTTGACATTGTAGGTTAAGGAAGTTTGTATTTACAGTCTTTCCTACATATTTAAAAAAAATATATTTTGAACTTATTGATGACAATACTAATGGGGAACCAACCTTGTGTAAGAATATAAGAAACATTCTGGTACCTGAAAGTATGCAATGTAATAAAGTGTTCATGTTCAAGAAATTAACTATAATTTACTACCAACACATTATTCTGTAACCCTATTATAAGACAGGCTTTAAGAAAGAGATAAGAATTGGTAATAGAGGCATGAACTTGAAGTTGCAGTTTCAATCCTAGCAAAAATATAATGAAGTTTAGTTATTAAAGATTCTGATCATTTATTCGCATTACAGGTATCAATCACATTATTAATTCCAACTGATCAAACTCAGTAAAATCAAAATATATAAATTCAAGAAATATATTAACAACTGTTTAATCATTATTACTGTTAATAGTACCTTTTTACAGGCACCAATATGCTATTTTTGAAAACTATTTACAAAATTGGTACAATCAGGTGTTGAAAATAGAAACAATAAAATTGTAAAATGCAATTAAAAAATTAACAATAATTTTTTAAAAAATGCATTCATTTTTGGTGAAGTTTTAGAAGAAGACTCCAAAAAGTACCAAAATGTTAAAATACAATAATGAAAAAATAGTATAAAGGTGTCTGTTTTAAAAAGTCAAAATATTAACATTAAATATATGTATATAATATGCTTCTTAATGTCGCATACTATTAAAATCTACAATTTACAGAATCTTATTCGAGAACTACTGAAGTTTCCCTTCCTTCTTTGTCAGCTTTTGCAAAAATAAATTTATCTTTCAAAAATCCACTAATACCTATCAACCACTGCATGGGAAGACTGTCACTTCCATTGAAAAATAAAAAGATTTAAAAGAAACATTTTTCTGTTTTATAAAACCTTCACAATGCAAACAAATTAACTGCTAAAAATGAATGGTTTCTCAGTACAATATGTATAAATTATATTTTGAACATTACAATATTTCACATTACAATTATTTCAACCAAGAGAAGTCATTAAGAAACAAGAGTTAACAAGTTTTCAACTGCACACTTATACAGTACGAGATGAACTTTGGGATTTACAGCTGGTCAGCACCTCCCCTTTTCCAAGACTAAAGCAGACACTAAGCCAATCACGTAAGATACAGAAAGTTCAGTCAGCTCTCTCTATCTGCACTGCCAATGGCAAGTAAACATGTCCACCTGTACAGAAGTATGACTGAATTTTAGGTGTGGAACAGCATTTGAGCCTTAGACTCAACAAGAGCTTAATAGACCATAAACAAAGACTTATGAGTTTTGATAAAGATATCTTAAGGGAAAGGAAACTTCAACCATGCAAGAACTTGTGCACTTGGCAACACTGTTACCATGACCTCTCCAGCTGTCAGTCCACAGAAAAATCTCCCAAAGTTATAATTAACATTTTAAAAACCCCATTAAAAAATGGAAACCCATTAAAAATTTTGTCATAAAGTAAAATCTTTGTGAATTGACACTATCTTCATGTCCAGCTTCTGAAATAAATTAAGAGCAAAATAAAAATATATAAATACACAATCCTGTGAACCATTATTTTTTTCAATGATGAAATGTTCTTTAAAAATACTCTCTCTCACATTTGGTTTTCCATTTTGGAGCGAATGAGGACATCACTATTAAATATCGTCAAAAGTAAATTAAAATACTTGCAAATACTTCTAAATTACTTCAATCTCAGATGTATATCTTTTTATCAAAGTTTAAAAATCAGGTACGTGGATGAATGGAAGCAAAAATATACTGATAATCAAAAAAACTTTCCATATAAAATATTCAGATCAGCCCAGCATCCATAATATTCCAGTGTCTTACAGTGAGGTTGTCATTTCCTCTGTGGCTGTGGATTCAGTATCAACTTGTTCATCAACTCTGAAATGGGGGTCAGGGAAAACTGAATTCACTTGCTCATGTTCCCAATGTAGCATGTCCGCTGCCAATACAACAGGACCTCTACGCTTAAAGGGTTCTTCCTTCCAACTTATAGGAGGACATTCTTCTTGCAGCACAGCTGGGCAACGAGGCTTTGTCAATACATCACTTACAGGTTGTGTCAGCACAGCAGCACCACTTCGTCTACGACATGTCATAATACACAACACTATGAGACACATTGCAAAACACACACCAACTCCGATGCCAACCTGTTCCAGAACAGATATGTGAAAAACTGGATCTGAGCTATCTGAATGTTGGAATTGCCCAATATCATAGACAGGAGTGTTGCTTAACATGTTAGTATCCAACATTTCCTCTGATACAATCATCGGGGAAATAACTTGAGCTGGAGCAGTATCTTCCTTTCGAGTAATAACAAAAGTAGAGATGACGGAAACTGTCTGAAGAAATGGGCTGCAAGGGGCAGCAGTTGTTGATGATAAAGTTATTTGTGGGCTTTCACTTTTAACAGAAACAGATTCATCTACAGAGTTTGGTTCGGTGAAGGATGGACTGAGGAAGATATTGCAACTGCCACCACAATTACCATCAGAGGGAATAGTTGGTGCTGCTGATGCAGACTGCTGAATGTCATCACTTCTCACTTTGCACATTTCACTTCAGGATCATACAACACTAATGGAAGACTTCCAAAGCTTGTTCAGGTGGGTAGTACATCTAAAAATTTCTTTCTGCTAGTTTATTTAACTCATCATCCTCTTCAGAATGTTTCAGTATTATGAAAGAATATCAATTCAAACCATATCAAACAGTTGCTTCCATACTTAAATTTCATATCTTCTTAGTTAAAGTTTCTGGATTAAGTTGATATCATATGGTCAGTCTAAAACGTAGACAAACAATTTACGAATGTAAACTTTACCAGTTAAATGCCTAAATGAGAAAATTAATGAAAACATGTAAAGCTATTGGAAAGTAAATGAGGAAAGAAAACTCAAAACCTCTTATTCAACATTTACAAACAATAAGTATTGCTCTTGAAAAATCATGCACTGGTAATTTATTTCTAATCTCTGGATTGAGAATACAATAAAGGGATATTAAGTGAAAAACATGGAAATTATTCAGTTTAAGATTGCCGTATACAACCGCCTTCCATATTTGGTGAACACAATTATATAATCATAATACATTTTAATGTTTCTAAAAATTATGAGAAAAAACAAAAGCATGCTCAACACAGCATTCTCACTACATAAATGATAATGTACCTACCTCAAAGGCATGCTGATTCCGTTAGGATACAAGGTATAATATAATAATTTTGATCGCAGGAACAGTGATGTCCTTTAAACATAACCCAACGTTAATTACTTGAAGATAATTTAAGTTCAATGCCCAATTAAGATCAATACCTACGTAACTAGGAACAGGTATTAACAATATTTCACAGACTGGCTGCGGCCTGCCAGCAGGCGCAGAGCAAGCGTAGCGATACTTGCCGCCACTTTTGGAGCCCAATTGCTGTGATTGGTTAGTCTAACAAGTGTTGGAATCTGGTCACGTGCCTTGTGAATAGCCAGTTGCACGGGCAAAGTTCAGAATTACCAATCCATCGTATTCATAGTGGCTTGATCATCAGTGACCCAATACATGTATATTACCCCAAGTAAATCCTAAACATTTTACTCATTGTATATGTTTTAAGAAGAAAAGATTAGTTGGTTGGAAATCTATGGTAACTTACCTCTTTGTACAATTGGTCGTGTTAACCTTTACAGTCTAAATTAACACTGTGGTGGCACCCATGTTACTTACCACAGGGGCGCGAATTTCGTAGAGAAGGACTCAGAAATGCGCACAAAAGAAATATTTATATTCACAGGGATGAATTAATAATGCAAATACAGAATTAGAAAAGACATCGTTGGGTCCATAACAACTTTTTAAACAAAATGTTGTCTTAGTACATGTATATGTAAATATATTTTTAAAAATTAATGTTAAAATTGCAATTAACTCCGCCTGTGTCTTCTGGACTTCGTCTGGCTGTTCGACGAATTAGCAGTTCTTTTGCGTTACGAGCGAGCTGAGTAGCGTGGCGAGAGCGAATACTGCCAGTCTCAAGACCGGAGAAAGGAGCAGAGTCTCTAAGCAGGTGTGGCTTTGTTCCCACTTACTTATGTCACACTTCTATTTTCTATCCTATTTGGTTTCTCCTGACCTTTTGTGTTATTGACCCCGACACTATTAGGTTTCGAGGGCTAGGGAGCAGTACCTCATAGGTGGCATTGTAAGGAGTCATTCCTTTTCTGATCTTCCCATTTTCTCATACTATTACTCAACTTACTTATCTGTCTTGCTATCCTTCTTTGTATCGTGTTATCTTTTTCTTAGGAGGGTGAATACTCTTTTCCTTATCCGCCAACGCCATCGAAATTGAAGGGCGGTTGAGCGGACAGTGGTTTTGGGTTGGGTCACTCACCTTGGAAATTAAAAATTCCTTAAAGAGTGGTCCACGGGGGGGGCACAGAGGAGACAATCCCTCTAGGGGAGAAAACCCCAAATGTTAATCCTGGCCCTCCAGGTTGGGATGTTGGGGCCGGCACTCCAGGCCAGCACTGCTACTCCTGGAAAAACACCTCACCACTTTTGAACCCTAGCAACAGAAAAAGCCTGACACTCAATAGATGAAGACTTAGCAATAGAAAACAGACAGTGAATATTGGTACAGGGGATATTGAATGTTAGTGAATTAAAAAGGTTGTAAGTGAAAAGATTTGATATAGATATTGTCGCTCTTACTAAAACAAAAAAGAAAGGAAAAGGTATCAAAGATTGGGTTTGCATATTTGTATAGCAGAGTAGATATGACTATAAGAGCTAAAGCAGGGGTTTCATTTTGCTGAAAAGTAAAATGACAAGAAATATCAAAGCTTGGGAAGCTATAAAAAAAGAAAGATTAATGTAGAGCTTTTCCTGAAAGGATATAATATTGTAGTCATTGGTGTTTATGCACCATCAAATGAAGACACCAATAAGGATGAACATGAACTATTGGATCAAATTTTGGCCAAAGGAAATAATTTAGCTCAGGGATTTTAATGCTAAGATAGGTTCGAAAATAAGTAAAGCAACTGTAGGGCCTTATGGAGAAAATCATGTAAACAATAATGGGGAGAGGATAATTGACAAATGCCAACAATATTCCCTGAAAATTGAGAATGAATTCTATCTACATAAAAATATCCATAAATTTACCTGGATTCAACCTACTCTTCATCTACAGTTTATTATGAAGTATGTGATTAGAAGACATAATACAATGCTAAAATTTCAAGATGTCAGAGTGTATAGAGATGCAGAATGTGGAATGGATCATTACTTCTTTAGAGCAAAAATTGTTCTCCCATGGAAACCATCAACCGAGTCAAGTGAAAATGAATGTACACCTGGACTGAACGGACTTCACATAGAACTTTTTAAATACGAGACAGACTTGCTTCATGAGCTGTTAACTTATGTTTTCAGCTGTTTCTTAAGGGATAAAATTGTTCCAGAGTGGAAAACTGCTTATATTTCTAAGATTTACAAGAAATGGAAGAGACAAGTTTGCTCCAATTACAGAGGAATAAGTGTGACTAATTCCCTTTCAAGACTATATGGCAAAATTATAAAACAAATAATTGAAAATCAGAAACATGATCAAAGAACAAAATAAATTTTGTGCTGGAAGATTCTGTATGGATTTTGTTTTCTGTATGAAGCAGCTCTTGGACAAACGGTTAGCAAGAGACCTTCTAACTCACTTGGTCTTCATTGATTTAGTAAAGGTGTATGACAGCATTCATCTCAGTAAATTGTGGTTAGCAATGAAAGCAAATGGAGTTAGGGACCTATATACAAGAGCAGTGAAAGAAGTGTTCACTAATTATACTAGTAGGGTAAAGATAGGTTGAAAAATATGTGAAGAATTCCGCCATCAAAGGTCTGCAGTTAGGATGTGCAATTACTCCCACACTCTTCAAATTATATGTAACATCTGTCCTGGAGAGATGGAGGTGAACTTGCACAAATATGGGAACTTCAGTCAGAACTGATAAACTGTTCACTTTGATTTTTACTGATGACAAGCAGATATTAGAAGAAGATGAAGATGATATTTATTACAGTTTGAGGAAGCTGTTTGAAGAATAGCGGAAATGGGAGCATAACAATAAATATCTCCAAAACTGAATATATTGTAGCTGTCAATGTAAACAGAAACTTGGTGCTACAAGGTAGTATTATCAAAGAAGTTGATTGTAACTTAGTGTAACATTTACCAAAAATGGTAGAAGTGAAGCTGAAATTATTCACAGAATAAGAAAAGGGAAACAAGTTACAAAACAGCTACACAATATGAAATGGAACCCACAAATAAGACCCTGCATAAAGATAAAGATATACAATTCTATTGTAGAGAGCACTGTTACCTATGGAGTGTAGACAACAACAGAGCAACTAAAGAAACAATTTAGAGCAATTGAAATGTTATTTGGTATTTGTGACACTGTTGTCAGTTCACAATTCAGGACAGAATGAAAAATGAAGAGGTATTAGCAAGACTGAACATAGGGACCACAATTTTAAGCACTGTAGAGGCAAAATGTCTCTGATGGTATAGGCTTGTGCCTTCAATGGATGACGGAAGGTGGTCCAAAAAAATGATCAAGTGGACCCCGGCTGAAAAAAGAAAGGGAGACCAATGAGTCACTGGAGGGATATAGTAACTAAAGCAATGGAATGAAGAAACCTGCAAGAAAACAACTCAAAAGATCATAGCAAATGGAAGCTGGGATGCAATAAACAACTCTAAGTTGCAATAAATTTGCAATAATAAATAAAAATAAAATAAAATTGCAAAATTTATAATATATATTCATATTACTTTTATTTACATACCTTCAATATTTCAGGGCCTTATAGTTTGGTCATGTTTGGGCCCACATAAGGTATTAATTCAGACCTAAATTGACTTCCAGGTTTAATCAGGGTTGCCAGATGCTTCGTACAGACATCTGCTGTTAGATGGAGGTAAATCCGCCCAATAAGAAAAATTCAACATTCCAAGCAAGGAATTTGAATTCACATTAAAATAATTGTATTAGAAGTTTTTTTTGAGATAGTAACCCTATGAAATGCTTGATTAGTTTTTTGTTGTTTGTAAACATTGTAATTAATTATAATATTTATGTAAAAACTTATACCTTCTGTTATATCTTTATATTTAAAAATTAGTTAGTTTTATTTTTTATTTAGTTATTAGTTAGTTTTTCCAGCCCAAAAAGTGGAATTTTGCCCAATCTGGCAATCCTGGGTTTAATCAGGTCCGGCCTTCCAGTGATAAACATATTTACTTACATAGAGCAATATTGTTTTATGAGGTCCATATTCAATGACTACTACAACAAAGTCTAGAAAATTCCAATGAAAATTATCTGTGAATGTTATGTGGTTTCTGGTTTAAGACTAAATTAAACAATAATTTGGAATTTCTGGCTATTTCTTCAAATGAAATTCAAAATTTCTGTAGATTTGATAAAGAGTGAATCGAGGGGAGTGTTAGGTTTAAGTTAAAAATATATGAATCATATTATAAAACTTAAATTAT